TCACTTTTCAGTCCTTCAAGTTTCTGTTAATCCTATTTTGGTCCCTTAAATACTTATTTTTGGTGATTTTATTTTGGTTTGTAATGTTCGCTTGTTTTTATTTTAGTCCTTTATGTATGAATATATTTTACATATTGTATTATTTGTATTGTATTAAATAAATATTATTAGCTCTATTTATTGTAAATATTTTATTTCATATTTTTTCCATTCACATTTGTTTCCATTGTATTTATTTATCTATATATTATTCGAATAGTTTCAAGAACACCAATTTGTAGAATGAGTTTGGAAAGCATCACTTGGTCGAAGTGATGCGATCCGATACACCATTTTAACGAAATGGGAACTTGAGATAAATCTAATTTATTTTATTAATTAAATTTTTTTATTTAAATGATTCGATGTGTTTTTATATAGTAATTTATTTTATGCGAAGGTTGGTAGTCAATTTATATTTGATTCGCGTTTTTATATCGATGAAGAAATATTCTTTTGGTCAAGAAATAAGGAGAGATAGGAAGATGAGTGAATCTCGATATTTCTTTTCGGATTGAAGGATTTTCCCTAATAATTAATTCGATGCAAATTATTTAATCTTTAATATTTGATTTATACTTTCCACCATTTACGACAATGTATAAGCGATTAAGTACCAATTTTGGGCGCTGTGGGCTGCTAATCATTCCCCATACGTAATCGACTTCCGGACCCGTTAAATTAAATTTTTGGTAAACGCATACCGATTTTTTTCTTAAAAATGATTTTTCCTTAAAATTGTTTTAAAAGACGTTTTAGGTATTCGACCTACCTAGCTCAAAGGTCGATGGCAACTCCTGTTCCAACTAATTCAAATTAATTCAAAATCGCCAATTTTTCAAATAAAAGTCATAATTATTTTTTTAAATAATACTTAATTGTTTTTTTTAAATAGTTATGAAATCCCCTAACAACCTTACCCTCTCCTTTTATCCTAATAATTTCCTGTATACAAGTAACAATATTCTCAGGACCTCTAGGAACTCCTCAAAAACCTACATTTTCTTTCCTCCCAAGTAAAATATACAATTGCACGCCAGGCCACCTTCAGAAAAAAAACAAGAAGAGATCTCCCTTTCAACCGAGCAACAGCCCACTCCAATTCTTCACCTCATCCTCCCACTGCCCTATCAATGCAGCACAGCCTAAGAACACCCTCCCAGACTTCCTTAGAAAACACGCACTCGAGAAAAATATGATCCCGAGACTCCCTAATACCACAGAGCTTACATGTATCATCGACTGACATTCCCATTCGAGCCAGACGATGAGCAGTAGGCAAACGAACCAGGATTGCCAACCAACAGATAAAAGCATGCTTAGGCACATTCATGGAAAACCACACCAACCGATGCAAAGTAACCTTCTCGTTTCTACCCCTTATCTCATCCCAAAAGAACCTCGGTCTCCAGTCACAAACCCGACCCATCAAAGACACGGCCACACTCTTAAGCTTCAGAATTTTCCTCAGACCCCATCTGAAACTAGGCCTACACTTAACCTGTCAAGAGTCAGAGCTTTTGATGATATACTTGTGCACCCAGGGGGCCATAAAGACCCCTCACCATCAACTGAACACTTCAAATGAGAAAGCAGACAAGCTTTATTCCAAACCTTCAGCCCCCTAACACCCAAGCCACCCTCTGCCTTAGGGAAATAAATATTCTCCCAACTGAACCTTGCCCCCTTAGCAGGCACATCTCTTCCTTTCCAAGGAAACCTTGCACACAACTGCTCAACCTTCTTGATAAGTCTACAAGGCAAGATCAATTGTCTACACCAAAAATTAACAATACTAAACAGAACAACCCCAATAAGTTGTAGCCTACCTGTATAACTCAACCAACGATTGGCCCAATTCCCCATTTTCCCTTTAATTTTCTCAATCAAGCTTGCTAAATCTCATTCTGACAGTCTGCGAGGCACCAAAGGAATCCCTAATGAATAGTCATTAATGATTAAGTAAATTTTCATTTTCTATAATGAACTTTTAAAAGATACAAATTAATTATTAATATTATGATTTATAACGAAATAATCACTCGGACGTTACAAAGATAACGAAACAACCAATAAAAACCCATTAATAATTTAATATTGTCATCTTCCTAAGAAAATAAACAAGTTAACTTTGAAATCAAGGAATCCTTCAAGGGAAACTATCCCGTTAATATTAAACAAGTCACAAAAGTTCAGGCTTTGAAGAATGCTGTCATGAATTCGAAGATGATTGACCACTTTGCTCGGACTCTTCTCTAGGCTCTAGCACTATCTTCGGACTCTTATCTAGGCTCTAGCACTATCTTCGGACTCTTCTTAGGGTAAGATTCATGGCACGACCATCCTTTCATCTCCATCCATTAGCACAGCAGTGGCCCTCTGTGTCGTAATAGTGTCGGACCTTAGTGATCAAGAATAGTGATTCACTTCTCAAATGAAAGCTGCATGAAGTTGTACTTCTCAATACAATATTAAACCCAAAAGGAATTGTGTTTTAAACTTTCGCGTAGATTTAATTTATTTATTTTCACTTAAGTTCCAAGGTTTCATCATCAGGACTTGATTTTGGTGGACGAATCTTCTATTTCAATAGAAATTTTCAGCATACACAACAACTTGAACTGAAACCTTGCTTAACCAATATTAAATTATCTAGAATCAACCCGTTTTCTAATTCATACTTTTTAGGTTTTATGATAAGATTGACTATGGCTAAGAGTAAATATTACAGCAATGGCTCCATTTATATTTAACTAGTGAACAAGAGAGGGAAGATTATCAAACTAACAATTACAGTAACAACTCGCTTCCGCAACAACTTGGATGTTATCATTTTTACCATAAAAAAGATACAAAAGTACCCAATTTTCAAGTGTACCTGTAGCAATCATGGACGTAAAAATTTCAGCCTGCTAATTCAATGAGCCAACAACGGAAAAAAACACTGTGATCAAGGACAAGATCACGGCACATAAGGGAATCACCAACACAATTATCTCATTAGCATCAGTTATCATTCACGGGTATTGCTTGCAGTTTTCCTTCTTCAAATATTTGAATTAGGATTCAAATAACGGAAGGCAAACGCAATAGCATCTGCTATTTCGTGGTTGCACCGCCGTTCGAAACCGATATGCTGAGTTTAGCAGTGAATAATGGATTCACGCCTATAACAATCCGTCGGGCCCGTAATTTAATAGGGGTAACGATGAATAACACTGATAAAGAGACGTTATTGCCGTTTTTCAACCATTATTGGAAAAAAAACAAAGGGAAGAGAGAGAGAGAGAGTGAGCTGATGTGCAAAAGCAAGAGATGAACAGAAAAGCAGAACAATTCTACCGAAAATAAGAGTTTCAAAAAATCCCTAGCTCGATGAAAATGAAAGGTTTAAAGTGAGGAGAAAATAGCTTCTGGAATTTTCTTTAATTATTATGTTTGCGTTTTCAATTTAAGAAACAAAATGTATATATTTGGTCCCCCACTCTCACTCCCATTTTTCATATCTCAAAATTTTTTTTTTAAATAAATTTTTAAGAGATATATTAATTTATCATCCTCTCACCTTTTTAGAATTTATAATTTAATCGATATTTTAGAAGGTAAAGTTTAATTTTTATTTAATTTAATCTTAATTTTGTAATATGTAAGTTTATATTTTTATTTTAATTCTATTTAATTTAGTCGTGTTCTTTTAAGTTTATTCAAATTTCATTCAAAATTTTAACCTTTATTTTTCATATTTCATTACATTTTGATTATCATATTAAATTAGTGTAATTAAATAATAATCCAGATTATAAAAATTATTAAAAATGACTTATTATAATTATAATTATTATATTTTAGGATAAATTGTGCGAATTTTAGAAAACTTTATGACCGCGAAACCTGCAGTGATTGCGATGGCATCCAACGCTATCGAAAACACAGCCGTGAATGTTATTTAAATCCCTGATTTGGATTGCTTATTTTCAATCTTCGGCTAAAGAACTTCTGCTGGAGCAGATACAGATGTTGCAGGAGAAATCGCGCGGGTTGGAGCTGAAGTCAACAATTTCAAAACTGGGGATAAAGTTGTTGTCGTGCTTGGTGTAAATAGTAGTTCATATTCTCCTATTCATTTATTTTACTTGTTCAAATTTTCTTGGCTCAAGCGTACGTATGTTTGATGTTGCGCTGGACGGTTTGTTGGTTCAAGCCATGCAACTTTCACTATATGAATGCATTTTGCAATGACAGAATGATGGTGCACTTGCTGAATTTGCTGTGGTTCATTCGGGTTCCACAGTTCCAAGGTCTCCAGATGTATCAGCCGCTAATGTTGCAGTTTTGCCGATAGCTGGCCTCGCAGCTCTCCAGTCACCAAGCTTGCGATGAGCATATTTCATTTCCAGGTTTCTTTTTTTAGCCATAATTTTTTCTCCAAATTCACCCAGTTCTCTCTGGAAACTTCCACACAACGGGATGTGAAATAACCTGCGGCTTACCATTTTAGCAAATTCGAAAGCTATCCCCAACTCTCTCTTATCAAAACAACCTTGAATGGCTTCCATATCTTCGAACACTCTAAACATATCTTCAATGGTTTTAGCATATTCGAAAGCTTCCACAAGATCGACTCTCTCAGTTTCGAGGACGATTGTGCTGATTTATCTACAAGGTTATTGAGATTATGAAATGGGTTTGTTAACGTGGAGTGAAGCGATGAAGAAGAGAAATCCAACAAAATAAGCCGAAGAAGAGCTTTCCGTTTCAAAGTTGATGAGTTTTGCCAAGTTAGTGACTTAACACTCCACGTCAGCATTTCATTATCAACGTCGAATGACATTGACTAACCATTTGATTTCAAATCGATAACCAATTTGTAACTAATAAAAGTTTGATGAGAAAAACAAAAATTTATTCAAACATTAGTGATCATTTGGCTAGATTTCTGCCGCTTTGACAACAAAAAAAACCATAATCAACAAATCAATTAATTCATTAAAATCACTAAACAGGAACAAGTTACAGCACTGCAAAACAAATGCCTTCCTCCCCGGACCTTACATCATACAACTTTTTCCACAAAACCACCATCCCAGTTTTCGTTAATCTCGGTGTGTTTGGTTGCAGCAACAACCACAAAAAAATTTGATCTTTTGCCCGCCCTTACAAAAATAATAATAATAATAATAATAATAATAATAATACAGAGCCACAAACTTGAACCAATTTCTCAAGATCCTCTTCCGCCCCGTTGCCGCTTTTCTTCTAGTGCAGCAGCTTCATTCAACATGTCTGCTGCATCCTTCTGCATGTCTAACTTGGACAGAGCGACAGCTTGCATGTAAAATGCTGTCGACCAGTCGGGGTACACACATTGTGCTTGCATCGCATCTCGAAGGGCATCATCTGGTTGATCGCACAAGAGATGACAAAGACTTCTGCGTGCATAAACAGTAGGAGATACCATGGTTCCAACATCTATGAACTGCAAAGAAATGGATAAAATTAAGCATTAATGCATAAAAATGACCCATTTTTCCTTTGTGCCAATTATCTATCGTGCTGCCAAAACTTGCTATGATACAAGCAACAGGAGTCTCAGATTTCCCCACACTCATTTTTCTACATGGCAAAAATCCCAAGGTTCCAACTGATAACTTACAAGAAACACCATGAAGTACATTACTTAGAACACAGGCTCTGCGCCCTTTCGGACCATACAAATTCTGTGAATAAATCAATGAATCTGATCTATTTATCTCAGTAAGAAATGAAAATGTATACCTGAGAATAGCAATCTATAGCAGTTTTAAAATCTTTTTCACGAAATGCTACATCTCCTCGCTTTCTTGCCTCCAACATATCTCTCATTTGTTGAGTCCACTCTTGGAAGGAGAGCTGAACCAGTCCATATCCAAAGCGATTTAGTACCCCATATAATATACAGACATCTGAAAATCTACATACTTGTGATAAAGTTACCTCATTTGTTCCTTCATCGTCTTTGTAATGTGTCATTACCAAAATTTGATGGATAGCTGTTAGATCCATCCGTGAACAGGAATCACCCATTGGAGACAGTGGTTGTTGAGGAGTAGGAGGCCCCTCTTCATGTTTGGGAATTCCCAACATCACATAAGATGGAACCTACAAATAAAGACTCAAGTCCTCAAAGTCTGATAACATACAAATTGTGATATTTCCATAAGAACAAAACAGCAAATGCAAACAATATTTTCACATGCATATCCAAAAAGGAAAATGGTGGAAATTTGGGGGAAGATTGAAGGAGGACAAAAGATGGACTCACATCAGGTTTATTTTGCAATGGGGAAAGTGCAATGACAAGATCTTTGGTCTTTGGCCGCTCCCTCGGTTCATATTGCAAACATTGTGAGGCAAGATCAAAGACAACGGTTGCCTCTTCAGTAGAAAAGTTCCCCACTAGATGTGAATCCATCAAGAGAAGAATATTTTTGCCCTGTATCATATCAAGAGCCTGCATAAAATAAAATAGGAATAAATAATTTCTTTTAAAAAACGGTACTCCAAAATTTACAAATAAGGATGTAGAACTAAACACAGGAAGATTGAAGTGGCCACGGAAATAATATTTTTATTCCTTAATTCTTCATTAAAATTCATCATGCGTAAATTAGGTGGTGTCATCATATCAAATCATTGAAAATGTACAATAAAAACAAAGCAAAACATGTGTAGTTATAATTTGACTATCTGTGAGAAATCACAGATCCTTGGTTTCTACATATTCAACATTTTGAAACAAGAACCCCATTTAAAATGATCATTTAATTTTTCCATTAGGTCTAATCACCGCAAATATGTACAACTGAAATTGTGGAATAACTTCCTTATGTACATAGATTACAGCTTTCCAAGAAACTAAAGAGTGCTAAATGGATAATACTTACATGACTTGGTGGAATGTGTTTTCCACTGAGAAGATCCAAAAGGACAGTTCCAAAGCTGAATATTACACTTTCGGGAGTAACCCTTCCTAGAACACAGATGTTAATAATTTAATCAAATCAGAATCAATCAGTCAAGCTAAGAGCAATTGTAAAACAAATAAGCCATTGTTAGAGCTATCAGTCCTAGAAACTTCAAAGTTCTAAATAACGAATTTTCACAATAGACTTAGTTCACTTATATCTTTCTCAAATTATATAGTTGCACACTTGGAATCCATTGAAGCTTAAGGCATTATGATCTTCTATAAACATCTGAAATGGAAAAAACCCTCAAACACACTATCAATGCCAAGGCAAAGGCAGAAACAACGGAAAATGAAATGATCCATCCATTCGTGGTCCAACATATCAAGCATCACCCCCCTCCCCCATATTTCATAAAGATGAATTTATGGAAGCAATTCTCACATAATCTATCAAGGGAAAGCTTTTTTTAGTATGTTTAATTCATTTATAAAATACACAAATGATCATAGCTAATTTGACAAGGATTGCTCACAAGAGGTGTTTGCAAAATGTCAGTTTCTGTAGGTTTGTGTAAAACTAAAGCTCCTCCCTTCTAGCTTATGAGAATATATGAATGATCATTCAGATCAAAACATTAGAAAACATTTGACCACATAAACAAGTTTTAGGTTTACACTTACACGCTAAATGATACACTGCAGAGCAAGATTGTTTTCTTTCTCTTAACAAGAGTAAGGGGGATTTGTTCCATTGAAGATCTTTTTAGGAGCTGAATTATTTTGGGTGGAATTGGATCGTGATGGTTCTTTTAGTGGAGTTCTATTCAGAGGCGGTTGATTTTGTTTTAATGGTTTTAGGTGTTGTTTTTTCTGTTCTGTTATGTCCTTAGGTGTTGGGCAATTTTTTTCTTTTGTTGGAGGTGCAACTTAGGAATAGGGTGATTGTCTCTGGGGATTTGTGGTTGAGAATGTGAGAGCTTTAGGTAATTCTGGTTTTTTGCAATGGTGTTTATCCCAGTATGAGGGTATTCCGTGTTTTCATATGTACCGCGTGTTTTATTTAATGAAATATGAGGTTCTCTTTTCTTCCTTCCAATGTTCGTTAACATACTTGTTAATATGTGGACGAGTTAAAGAAAAAAACAAGAGAAAGGGAGAAGTTAAATAATGATAACAGTTAAAAGGTTGTTACCAACATTGTTTTCTTTCTCTTAATAAGAGTAAGGGAGAAGTCAAATAATGATAACAATTAAAAGGTTGTTACCATTTCTTAGATACTCAGGAGGTGTATACGCCAGATTGGTACTATAACTTTTTCCATCCCTGCTGTTCTTCATGAAGCCAAAACACGAAAGTCGCGGATCACCATTCTACCAAAACCATTAAAAGTGTTTCAATATGTTCTACAAAAGAAATACAAATACCTGAATAAAAAGGAGATTTGTTACAACACCTCATCAAAGAGCACCCTATACGCATTCAAATCATGGTACAGTGGACGACCTTTACTACTACAATAATCTAACGATTCAGCCATGAATAAAGCAGCTCTCAATCGCATAGCCCATTCAATAGTCTGGTTTTCCCCTGTCATGCAAATAAAGAAATGAAAATATATTCAAGCCAAAAATGAAACATTAAGTAAAGAGTAAGCAGAAAAAAAATCTGCTTTCACAGGACAATATGTTGTTATTTAAATTACTTGAAAATTAAAACTTAAGATACTATCATGCAGGATATAACTGTTTGAGAGTAAAATTAGTTGGAAACAAACTTAACAGAACACATCAATTATCACCCAACCAACACAGTTCGGCCGGAGTTAGTAATAATTGCACTCAAATTGAATGGAGAATGTTTCTTGTTTAGAAAACAAAAAGTGGTAGCAAAAACTGGAACCGTACAGTGAAATAAATGCTTTGCAAGGGTATCATTGGGCATGTATTCGGCAACAAGCAGTCTCTCGTCACCATCGCAGCAATACCCAATCAAATTAACCACTCTCTTGTGTCTCAAGTTGCCAACACCCCGAGCTTCATCCTTTAAGAAGAAACAGAAGAACAATAAGGGGAGGTCCTAAAATGGAAATAACACAATTATTTGAGGGGGAGAAAAAGAGGACAGACGGCAAATTGTTTGGGATCGGGCCAGGCAGATTTGGTGAATTTCTTGATGGAGATCCAACGGCGATTATTGTCGTTCTGGAGGCGGCCTTTGTAGACAACATTGGGGGCCTTCACACCGCCTTCGGAGACAATGAAATCGGAGCTGAAGTTGTTGGTGGCAGCCTTAAGCTCAGCTAGGGAAAACTCTGAGAAATCAGGGAAGGCCGAAGCGGTACCGGCAATGGAATCCTTCCCTCCATTCGACGGCGAGTAAGGGCCATTATTGGTCTGAGTTACCCGGTTGTTTTGGTTGTTGACGTTAAGGTGGTGGGTGTAATTGGATTTCTGCACTGAGTAGGGATTCCTGAGAAAGACCGATTCGCAGCAGCCCATAACTCGGGGATAGGGGATGTGTTGAGTCAGAAGACGAATTTATAAATCATAACCATAGAGAAACCTTTCGCCTCCGATCTTCAAAGAGAAATGAAAGAGGGAAGGGACAGAAAAGCTCTGGTGTGGGGGGGGAAGGAAGGGTAGACGACGTCGACACAGTGATTGAGAGAGAAAGGGAGTTTTTCCCCCAAAAACGTGTGAAAGAAAAAGAGAAAGAGACAGACAGCAGCTAACAGCAACAGAGCTTTCTCTTTCTCTTTTTTCTCTCTCTGTATTTGCGTTCGTCTCTTTCAGCCCTTCCTTCTGCACTGACAAAACCTTCTGTCCCTTTCTCTACTGTCTCTTTCCCTGATTTATTCATTTTGAATGACAAGTAGTCTGCTACTACCCTAGAGATGGGTAATGCCCGGATTTTCTGTTCATCCGACCAAATAAAATAGATCTTTTTTACCAGAAATTTTACTCTTATTTAAAGTTATTTACCTCGACTGTCATATATATATATATATATATATATATATATATATATATTTCGGCGTATTTTTCGAAATATCACCTTAACTTTGTATATTTTTCTGTCAGATACCATTTAGATTATATTTTTTGATTTAATACTCTTGACTGAAAGATGCGCCTTCTATAAAGCGTTTTACGGGACACGCCTTATTAAATGTGTAAAAAATTCAGATGTTAATTTTATAAATATTTTTAAACGAATGCTAAATACGTCATTAATTTATATTATGATGAGATTTATGAAAAAACGTCAACATTTAATTGTGCAGACACCCGCACCTAGGATTTGTAAATTAGCTGGGTGTCACAAATTAATGAAATCGGTATTATGTATAGTGGTTAAGTTTATTGATATTTTAGTATCACAAGTTTATTTTTTATAATAATAAATTTTTTATAATTTTAAAAATTATAAATTTCATATATTTTAAAAAAAATTATTGAATAATAATTCATTTGATCATTCAATTGTAATTAAAAATTTATTTTTATATTTTTATATTTTTAAACAATTAATTTTAAAAGACAATAATTTTCTCAAAAATATATGAATTTATAATTTTTTAAATTATAAAATATTTATTATTATCATCATCATTTTGTAAAAGAAATACTAGTTATAAAATTTTTATAAAATTATTCATATTTTAAAATACTTACCCTCAAAGTTTTTATATACTAGATTATATGTATTATGTAATTTTAATGTAAAAATTTAAATAATTTTATTAAAAATGAATAAACATTATTAATTGTTGTTAAAAATTAAAAATTAATGAATAATAATTCATTTAATCCCTCAATTGTAATTAAAAGTTTATTTTAATATTTTTTTATATTTTTAAACAATTAATTTTAAAAGGTAATAATGTTTTCAAAATTATATAAAATTTATAATTTTTAAAATTATAAAATATTTATTATTATTATCATCATCATCATTTTGTAAAAGAAATACTAGTTATAAATTTTTTATAAAATTATTCATATTTTAAAATATTTAACCTCAAAGTTTTTCTATACTAGATTATACGTATTGTTTAATTTTAATGCAAAAATCAAAATAATTTTATTAAAAAAGAATAAAAATTATTAATTGTTGTTAAAAATAAAAATTAATGAATAATAATTTATTTGATCCCTTAATTATAATTAAAAGTTTATTTTAATATTTTTTATTTTTTTAAACAATTAATTTTAAAAAAATAATTTTTTCACTAATAAACTTAACCACTACAAACATTGTCCACTTTATTTAAACCCCAGTCAGTTCACAACCTGGCGTGCGTGTGGGTGCTTGCAAAATTAAATGTGACGTTTTTACACAAATGTCACTATAATATAAATTAATGACGTATTTAACACCCGTTTAAAAATATTTACAGAACTAGTACTAGGGTCTTGCCTTCAACCACATGACGTAAAACGTGGTGTAGGAGGCTCCCTGCAAAGGGTGTTAGATTAGAAAATATAGTCTGAACAGTGTCTGACAGGGAAATATATAGGGTTAGGATGATATTTCGAGAGAAACGCCGAAAATTTCTACTATACATATAACATACATAAATATAATATTAATTTTGCATGATAAAATTTTTAAATGGTCATTAAATTATATTAAAATATTTTTTTTTAATATTAAACTTTCAAAAGTTACATAATATTTCATTCAATCCCTCAATTTTATTATAAAATGAATATCATATCTTTAATTGTCATTAAAGAAATAATGTGACATGTTAAATTAATAAAAAAATATCTCATTTAAACTTTTAATTATAAACTAAATTTGATTTTGATATTTTTTAATATTTCGAAATAATAATTCTAAAAATCAATATATATGTATTTACGATTCATTTTTAAAGTTATAAAAGTATATTTTAAAAGTATAACTTATAATTAGTCTTTTGATTCATGAAATTATAATTATTTTTTAAATGTGAATTTATTAAATTCAGAATTTTTAAAAGTATATTTTAAAAAGTATAACTTACAAGTAATCTTTTGATTCATAAAATTATTATTTTAAAAAATATGAATTTATTAAATTCACAATTTTTTAAAATTATTTTTGATTTAATTGTGATTTTATTTGAAATCTTAAAATTTATAACTTTTGAGATCTAACAATTTCAGTTATAAAAATGAAATCATTTTTTATTATGCAAGGTGATCCAATTCTTTAACTTTTGTTTGATAGTTTTAAATATAATTTTAAAAGTATATTTATAAATCAAAAATAAATTTTGAAAATTCATATATTTGAATTTTTTTTTGAAATTATTACTTAAAATTATTTTTCTGAATTTTTTAGAGAAAATGAGATATCTTTTTATTAATTTAATATGCCACATTAACCCTTAACCATAGTTAATTGTCAATGTTTCTCTTTTAACGAAATCCAAATTCAATACTCATTTTATAACGTTTTTAAAAGTTGAACGAAATAAAAAATAATTTTATTATAATTTAATGACTATTTATAAATTTATATCATACATATTAGTGTATGACATGTGCCATAGATTCTTCATATAAAACATACAATTCAACATGATCATACATAAATATATAATTTTAATTTCATTTCAAAATAAGTATTTAATTGAAAATTTATATATAAAAATATATTATTATAATCATTTTTAAATATATAAAATATAATTAAATTATTTTTTAAATTTTGATAAGATACTTTTTACGATAAACTAAAACTTGATTTGATTTAAATCTATTTAAAAAAATAATTTGATAAAATTAAATTAAATAAAAAAAGTGATAGGTTTGTGCCCATCTCTATCTACTATTATAATAGTATGAATGCCCTATGGATATTATTGTCCTCACGTGCTTCATTTGGGTTTAGGAATGGCAAACGAGCGGGTCGGGTGAGGATACCCCCTCCGTCATCCCCACCTAATATTTTTCAATTCACCACCCGCTCACCACTCATGATGGGTATAAATTTTCAAATCCACACCTATCCACCCACGCGAGTATATTCTCAAATCTATCCCCACACACACTACCCAACTGGAGACGTACCCGACTAGACCCGCCTGACAGCTAGGGGTGTGCAAAAAAATTTGATCTGACTGATCCGATCCAAAAATTTGAATATCTGATATGTTTTTCAATTTTCGCATAGTTAGGATCGGGTATCCGAATTTTTTTTTCGGATTATAGGATCGGATACGGATTGATAAAAAACATGTTCGGATTATTCGAAAACCCGAAAAAAAATTTGGGCTATATTCGAAGACCAGAAGAGGTTTTTGCATAAAGCGTGGGCATGACTTATTCATCTTGAGCTATCGCAGAAGAAGTCTACAGTTAAGGCGTGGGCATGACTTATTCATCTTGAGCTATCGCAGAAGAAGTCTACAGTTAAGGCGTGGGCACGCCTTACCAGTTTGTATAACCCTAAATTAGGGTTACAAATTTACAAAGGAAAAAGAGTTTAATGACGGTTAAAAGACTCTATGGAATCATTCTTATCTTAAAAAAAATGAGTTTAAGGCGATAATAATTACAAATGTTGGATAGGTACATAAACAAATCCATTCTCTGAGTTGTAAAAATATTATGGACACAACTTTCTCTAAGTTATTTAATCAGAGACTCTTTGTTTGTTGATGCACCTATTTCTAATTATAATAAAGTTTTACCTACCCAAAATTAAAACATGATTTCAACTCTTTCCTCACACCATCGATCAAAAAAGCTTATACAAATCTAAGCAAATGATCCAAGATGAGTAAAATATAGCCTGATGTTTGGATCTTTACCTTTGCAGTTTGCATTATCCCAATCCAGAAAAAGAATATCAAATCTAAGTTGTATTGATTTTGGGCTTTTTTTTAAGATGTTTTTGTTTTATCAATGCATGATTATACAAATTATAATGCATAAATTATTCATAATTTTCAAAATCAGCAGAATGTGTTAATGCACTTAAATTCAGAAGAATACCAAATCGATAATTCAATATACGTACATATAACATGTTTCTTAAAAATCAAAATCAATATACGAATGCTCTTAGATTCAACAGAATACCAAAATCAAAATAACGGAGTATTGACTATTGGCCTTGTATCTTGAATAGAACTAAGAAGATTAGATCTGAAAACCGGAGTATTCACCTTACGATAAATTAAAGCGGCCACAAACAACTTCTATGCAGCAAACAAGATTAGGGAAGGTGGTTTTGGATCTGTGTATAAAGTGACATACAACTCTACTACCCGTAGAGGAGACCAACATAAAGAAGATGAAGAAGGCGTACCTAAATGAGCTGGAGACCAGAGTTTGAAATTTAGAGAAGATGAAGAACTACCAGAATATCGACGCAGTAACTAGCAAGCAAAGCACGAGAGGTTTGAAAGAAAAAATTAATTAATAAACTTATCCATAATATTTGTTTAAATTATAAGTTATATATAATATTAAGATTTATAAATTAGTCTCTAAAATTATACCTAAATTCATAATGGTCCAAAATTTAATAGATATTTAGTGGGCAGGCGGATGCGGGGCGAATAAGGTCTCAAACCCATCACCCGCCCACTACCCGCGATGAGTATCACTTTCTAAATCCACACCCGCCCACTACCTACTAAAGTTATACCCATCCCCATCCCAATTGATGCGAGTACAGTACAAAATCTACGAAATTGTACCCGTTTACCATCCCTATTTGGGTTTCCTTTATTTGCTTCAAGAGTGTTTTTGTCTTATCCTCTTTTACTTCA